AATAATAGATTAGAAAGTTTAGACAATACATCCATATTAGATGAAGAAGATGAAGAGGAGGATGAAAATACTATAGATAATGAAGATAATATTAATTTGGAGGGGTCTGAAGAATTAATTTTAAAGGGAGATTTAAATCTTGATCAATCTTTAAAAAATGCATTGTATGCATTTCAACAAAATTAAATAAATTTTTTCTGTGTACCATTTTATGATTTGTGGAACAAATGAATGTCCACCGTGCTTAACAAAACTATATACTGTAAAATAGTAAATTATAAATCACAGGAAACTAACTTATAAATCGGAAACAGTCAGGGATATTTCCATATCGGGATTCGATTCCAGAATAGTCTGCTGATCAATTCATTATATGGGGTAGTATTTGAATCCGAATCTCAAATGAGACTCATTAAGGGGGTTACACATTATCAAGATCATGTGGTGAACACATGATTTTAAGCTACTTTGATAGTGTGTAACCCCTTAATGAGTCTCATTTGAGATTCGGATTCAAACACTAATATGGGGCCTTTTCCAGTAAAACCAACCTCCGAGGTCATCTGACCAAATTTGGTTTTTTATATAATATTGATATATAACATATAGACTATAATTGGTGAAAATATTAGACCATGTTTGCTTAATAAAAAAATGGGGAATTGTAGGCCGGATACTTTTTTAAAATAAATTTCGTAAAGATCTACACACCCCATTTTTATTGTTACGCGCGATAAATTAATAATAATATTATATTTTTGCTACAAGTTATAACATTAAATAATAAAAAATAAACACAACATAAATTAATTAGGATTTGGACAAAAAATATCTTTAAATGGGTCTTCTACATGTTGGCAAATTTTTGTATACAAATATTTTTTTCTATCATCTGTCAATGGAGCAACTTCAAGAATATTTAATTGGCCATCAATATTAAAATTATTTTTTAGAAGTTAAAAAGGAATTTTTAAGCCACCAAATTTTTTGGTAACATAAACTTTTCCAATATCATCATTACTATTACTAAAATGAAAATGATGGTATTTGTTATATTTGGTAAACTTCTAAAATTATTTTTAAATAGTGAATTAAAGTCATACCATTTCCAACCAATACCATTTTTATATCTAATGGATTTATTAATATGCTCTATTGTTGAGTCATTTATAGCTTTTTCAACATGATCAACAGTATTTATGCATCTATTTCTATAAACTTTTTTGATTGATCCAAAAAATCCATCACAGATGAATTTAGTATGTCCAGGAATCATAAAAAATATATATATATTTTCATACCAACCCAACATTATTAACCATGACCAAAACCAAAGTGATAAATTATTCTTGTTTTGACCTGGACAATTATCACATGTCACATATAAATCTTTTTCAACATGTTGAGTCTTTTTAAGGAAATCAAAAACCATATTTAAAGTTGTGTTAGCCCCTTTTGATGTTCCTTCTGGCAATTCATCTTCACCTATAGTATAATTTAGTTGATAATTTTTACCTTCATTGGTTTTAGTACATATACTAAAGATATTTATTTTAAAAGGAGTTTTAAAATAAATTGAACCAACTTGTTGAGGAGAATATGGTGCAGGAACACTTTGAGCCCAATCATAGCAGATATGAGTTGATGTTAAATCATTTTTACATTTTTCAATGATTTTATTATAATGTTGTCTTTAACAATTTGCAGCTGCAAGATGTTCATCAGATTTGAATTTTATTTCAACAATTGCATCATTATTTGATGTTTTTTTTTCCAATCTAAAAGTTTCACAAGTCTCACATAGATCACTTGATGCCTCTAAAAATTTAATATGTGGTGTTATTTGATTCCAAAGTCTCCAAAAAGTTGTAAATTTTATAATTTGTACAGATGTATTAACAAGACTATCCTCAAAGCATTTTTCATACTCATGAAAAACTGAACTATAACTATTTTCAGTTCCTAGATAAATATATGGATCTGAATTATCACAAAGTCTCATTGGATATGGTAATCCATGTAGATCAGCATAGTTTAGTATAAAATTTTTCACACTTTCTGCTACTTCAAAATCAACAAATACCCATGACTTAAGTTCAGGAATTTTTTTCATATTACCATGCTGACAATCTTCTAAACCATTTGTTCTTAAATGTTTTTGTAAGGTTTTCAACATATTTATTTTAATATCACATAATTTTAAAAATACTGAACCCGGACACTTTACCGACACCCACTTTACCGACAGGACACTTTACCAACACCCACTTTACCGACAAGACACTTTACCAACAGGACACTTTACCAACAGGACACTTCACCGACAGGACACTTTACCAACAGGACATTTTACTGACAAGACACTTCACCGACAAGACACTTTACCGGCAGGACACTTTACCGACAAGTATTGTGTTAACAGTTTGCCAAGGACTGTGTGAAGACCTGGATAATTAGCTAAAAAT